GTTTAAGGTCAGTATTTATAGTTCGTTCTTATTTTAAATACATAACGTCTGAAGAACTAATGTGACTTTATGATTGGCTTACGATATTTCAAAACTTAAGATGGTTTTAAATATTATATAAGAATCGACTATTATGAATACCGGCTTACAATAATTGGCTTATAGTATACATAACATCTTAAATTTTATATACTTCATTTTTTAATAAATCACATACTTAAATTTGTTTATAATCAATAAATATTCTAAGAGAGTTTTCTACTTCTAAATTTATATCGATCCATGAATCCTAGAAAACTACTTCATTTATTTACAATAATTTATTTGTAAGAATATAATAGCAACGATCGCTCATCGTTATGTGACATTTGAGATTACTCCAAACTCTGTAGTTTCATCATTCTTGCAGAAAACACGGAATCTTGTATGAAATGGCAGTTTACTTGAACAAGAGAAAATTCAGACATATACGCATATGTAAATGTATATCTAGTATCTGAAGTTTTGAATAACGGTTTTTATGAACCGGTATTTATGAACGTAAATCCTAAATATTCACTATCGAAATTTATGCAGTGTTATGTTTGAATACATAATTGTTAAATGTTTAAATTCTTTAATACCCCATTTCTCAACAGTTTTCTTGAATTCTATTTTTATTGATACTTTATATTTTATTTAGATAGAGAATAAAAACCTGATTTTCTTTACCTCAAAATAGAGTTTCTTATAGATGTATAAATATGCATAAATCTATATATAGGAGAAAATTGCAAAATATAATCTTCCTTTTCCACCATTTCATTAATTCTAATTCTGATTTTGGCAATAATGCTACTTTTAGGCTTGGGATCAAACGAACTGTTTGGACACAGACTTTGTAAGCAAGTTTGTTCGCACAGTTAGTGATTAAAGAGTATGCGACCGCATGCTCGGCTAGAAAATTGATGTACTTGCTCAAAACTCTTGGCACGGCAATTGCCCTATCGTGCCAAGAATGCACGACCTCTGAGCCTCTAGTGACCCTATCTCAGTTGCTATTAACTTTCGAAATTTTCTGAAATGTTTCGACTTTATTATAATTATAATAATTTTCTTTCAAAAAAATATTTTTTTTCTTTTCCTGCAATTTGCTCTTTTATAAATTTCCTACCAAATAAAATAAATTTCAACAATAAATGTATAACGAAAAAGATATAAAATTAATAAGTATATATAGTTTTTTCTCTATATTTTGAAAAACTAAATTTAAATTCCAAAATTTCTCAAGTACCAAATATATATACATATATATAATTATTGTACTCCTTATAATTCTTAAATTTAATTACTTCTTATTGCTTTTTTTTACTATATAAATTAATTATTAGGCCTTTGATTCCATAATATTTTAAAAATTAAATATTTGCTGATATAAAAAATTTTAATTTACAGTATAAGGCATTCTTATCAAATTTTGTGTGAACATTCTGAAATTGTTGCATGACTTCTTATATGCATGCCACGTGACAATAGATAAAATAAATTGAGAGTAATTATATCAACAAAATATGTCAGCTTCTGACTCACCCAATCACATTCATCATCCTTTCGATTAATAATATTAGTCATATTTGAAAGGAGATTGCAAGTAGAATTTGACCTACGGCACAAACGACAGGATCGATTCTATCCACGATAACATCGAGAAGCACGAGTTTATTTTTAAACGAGGGTTGAGCTAATGCGCTCAAGCAGAGGTGCGCTATCCAACATCTGACGGAATAGAAAAATATTATCCTTGCCGAGGGCAACGGTGGAAAGACAAGAGAAAGAGCACGCTTGAAATTATTTCGCGGAGCACGAAAATTGGAGCTCGTGAAAGTGAGATAAAATTAGTTATTAAAATAAATTTAAATCCGGCTTAATGCCGACTTTCAGCACGAATATGTAGGAGTATAGAAGAACCAGTGATAAAAATAAAACAAAAAAATTCAATTTTCAGACTGCCACTTTTGCCCGTTTCTACAATGTATAATAGTTTGATTTTAATCTCGGTTCAAATAACAGTTTATCTTTTTCTAGTTATAAGAATTAGAAAATGATAAGGAGTAGATTAAACCGAGATGAAATTTAATCTACATTGGTGATAGAAACGAGCATGTAGGAAGGAAATTGTCCGAAGGACGTAATCGCGTCAAGTATGAGGTTTGCGCACCGCTGCGTCGAAGGAATCACCACCGCAGTCAACTACGGAACGTGCTCAATTTCCTGTTGACCTATTTATAACGTGCCTATCCACGCCGGAGAAGCCGCGGTATACTTCTCAAGGTCCCGACTGACTTGTAGTTGTAGGTAAGTAGATAGGTAGGTAGTCCAGTGCAGCCGTCACCTCGGCGGGCACATCTGCCACAAACGCGGGCCGGCAAATGCGCAAAATTGCTGACTGCACGGAATGAATATCGCGGAACTGGGGCAGCTTTCCGGCCACTTTTACCACTTGCACGCGGTGAAGTTAGATCGATAGAGAGAAGCGTGTATAAATCTTTCCGCAGGACGCAGAATGCGGTGTCGCGAGCTCAACAGCGAATCGATCGATTTCCGCAAAATTGCTACATGACTCTATCTCGAGTCAACATGCCCATCTCTCCTCGATTCACCGTTATAATAACGTGATAGATAAAGCGATATAATTTATTTACGTCCATTTCATGCTTACGAGGCTTCCTGCTTGCAAATTCTAATTGCTACAATCTTTAGTTGCACATCTGTTACTTCCACATTTATTATATGCGTTTTGCGCTGTTCAAAGATTAGTTTAAGAATGTAACTTTTTCATGTAACTTTCATAACTTTCATTTAACACTTAGAACTACCGAACATTAATTTCTACTGTTTAAATATATTATATATTATACTTAAGAATGTATCAGATATATGTATAATCTCTATAAAAAGTGAATAGAATTGGAAATGTTATACTTTCCGTATAATAATGAATATTCATACGGAGCAGTTCAATAAGGTCATTTATACTTAACAATACAATTTTATAACTTAAATAAAAATGTTTTCATTTATTATCTTAATTATTTTTTAAAAATATGTCTTCTTATTGAAATAATTTTTTATTCAGGTTTATTATTTTCAAATAAATATAAAAAAATGTAACTTTTTCATGTCTTTATTTTGTTAAAAAAAAATACGTTTAAGAACATCTTTAAAAATGGAATAAAAGAGCGAAGTAGATTATCGTTCATATATTATTATACAATAAAGATTATATGTAGATAAAGTATTATAAGACTGTGTGTGATAGACTAGCTAGATTTCAGTATTTAAATATAAAAATTATAAAAAATCTAAAAAATGTACCATTATCAGGATAATTTTTAAAATATTACAAATCAGTCATTTTGATTGTTTTGATTAAGTTTTAGTGTTAAGAATAAATTTGACAGAAATATTTTTAAACAAGCTTTTCTTATTCTTATAATTTTTAGAATAGATATATTTAAACAATTGATAAATTTATCTATAAAGCGGATAATTTTTACGAATTCATCTCATATCAGCTGAGAAAAATGAAGTCAAGGATGAAACCCTGCGATAATTATACGTACTCCTGGCCACGAATAAACACAATGATTTACGTAAGCTACTGTGACACTATTCTCAAGTCGCAATGTCGCTTCTACATTTGTAAACATAAATGTCACATACATGTAAAGTGTGCGACAATGAAATTTTATAGAAAAGTACATTATATAGCAAGTGCTGTGCATCGTCCAAATAGTCCGCTCCGCTTGAAATATTTCCATTTGTCAAAAGATGTCGTCGCTTTAACTTGGAACTTATAGAACCATTTCCTTGACAATGAAAAATTCCACCGTGGTTTCCCACTTTTTGTGACAGCAGCTAATGTAGAAGTTCGTGATGTGAAACCAGGTAAAAAGTGGATTGTTTCGTATCTTCTATTTATTCGAGATTTTGCGTAAAATATTTGCAAACACTTGCATTTTCTCCTTTCGCTGTTTATGCGATAAATGTTATCTTTATCGTGTTGGCTTCGTGGAGTTATATATCGCTCACATGACTCAGAATCACTGAAGTGCGAATGAAAAATATCTTCCTCCGCAGCTTCCTTCGTTTCGCAGAGTAACTGAATGAATAGAATCTAATGGTGTGAAGACTAAGGAAAAAGCGCATCTGTTTTAACAAGATCTACAGAAAGCGAAGGTTTAATGCGCTCCCGGAAAACAGTGCCGGGACAAAAAAAATACGTTTTCCAATCGCTCGTTGCCGATGAGTAACCGTGTGATTACGAGTGGAATTAATTTCACGAGGCTACGCGTTCGTGCCGAGTAGCCGTATCTAATCTCCATCGAGATACTAATCTACAAAGATAGAGCGCATTCCATACAGCGAAATACGACGAGCGTTCGTTTCGAATTCGCGATTGTTGTTCACGAACAATGGCGAGAATTAAGAAGCAGCAGATTGCCGTACGAGAGAAAAACTTTCTAACAAGCCTCCTTTAACACAATATCAAATATGTATCTCGAAATCTGATAGTATCCTTGATAGGTGAACGGCATTGAACGTCCACAGATTTTCGTTCTACCGTTCAGTAAAGCAAAAAAAAAATTACATTAATTATATTTAATTTTAATTCTTAAACGTCTTTTTTCGGTACATCAGATTTCTTCATGCTTTTTCCATTGCTTATAACTTTTTTAAATAAATACATACATTCGTATGGTACCGTTATGTTTCTTAATGTATGGTGTTTTGATTTAAAAATAATTTTTTACAATATGTTTATTTTTATAAAAATTATCGAATTAGGTTGAGTAGGTTTTCTTCTATGAAATGTTTTTTGTTTCTTTCTTTTTCTTTTTCAATATAAGACACAATGAATATTTCTTTCAATTTAAAATCGATTACTAATTATTTTATCATCTATGTTATAATACAATATAATAGATAATAATTTCTCTTTCCATAAAATATCACCTTACCTTGTAAACCTCTGAGAAGAAGCCAGCACCGATCTTCTCCATGTAAAAATCATCTAGGCGATTCAATGAAGCGACGGCGTGCCTGAGCGCCTGACAGGATGCCCCAGTACGCCTCTTCGAACTCGAGTCCTGAAACGTCTCGCCTGAACAAATCGTCAATCCGTGCACTGCACCACTCTCCGCCATCTCCGTGGGTCGCCAAGGAGAGTCGCGACACTTCTCTTTGAACTCCTTATAGCTCCTCGGCGAGCTGGACAATTGCAGTTCCGTGGGCAGATCCTGCGGTAGGCAGGACGCGTAATTTTGCTGCAACATATCGCTGCTGATCCTCCTTGCCGTCCAATCCTTGGACAGCGTCGAAGTGGTAAAGTCACTTTCGCAGGTATCATCCTCGCAAGACGCAGTGGTGGTCGTGGAATCACCGGCGCCGTCCTTGACGTCAGTCATCTTCGAAATCGCTGACTTTTGATGCGTGTGCAAGTGATCGCTCACAGCCGGCACATTAGACGCGCCATTCGACGTAAAATAATTCGCGCACGTGTCCGTCAAGAGATCCTCGTTATTGGATCTCTTTCCGCCAGACAGCGACGTATAAATCATTTCGGAAGATCTCGTGGAAGATAATTTGGCAGCAATCGTACCCGGGGAGGTGTATCCCTGCAAGCACTTAGACTGTTGCTCGTTACATGTCGTCTGATGCTCCTTATCGCTCGGAGGCTCTCGATTAACGGTAATAATCTTCTTCGCAGTTTTTGTATAGTCTCTCGCACACGACTCGATGTTAAGGTTTCTCGCAATCGAAGTAGACTGTGGTCGTCGTGATCTACCGACACCAGTCTTCGAGTAATTCAAACAATTTTGACCGGAGGGACTCTTCTGCAGCGCATTAGCGTGATTCCTGCCAACTTGCGACAAACCTTCTTTCGGCAAACACTTGGCCGCAGTCTTGGAACAAGCGGTTGCACAGGTTGTCGTTATTTCATCAGTCCTGCAAGGTTTAGGGGATTCCATCGCGACGGATGTGGTGTCCAACAAGCTAGCGGGCGATTGCAGAGAGTTGCTAGGAGCCTCGGAGACCACGGCGGACGAATCGTCGGCGTTGTCCTTCGTCGGTCGCCAAGGTCTCACCTTGTCGTCGGCGTTCACTGTCGGCGTCTCCTCCACCGAGAAGCATGGCAGACACGACGCTGTGCCCGTCGTCGCCGGCCTGATGCACGACTTGGCTGATGTTTGGTCGCCGTTGTTATTATTAGGCGGACCCGGTGTATTTGACGGTGGCACTTTCCCGAACATTTTCGCCGTTATTGCCACGAGACGGTCGCGCGAGATAACGCGAGACGATAGTAGCAGCAGCCCTGCGTGCGTTGCATCACACGCGGCCGACTCAATGATGCGTCTCTCGACACGTCGTTACGGCGTCAACCTGCGTCGTATCCCGTGGCGAACAAAGAATAGTTCTGTAAAGATGCTAATTCGAACAGGTGGCTGCCTAAACTGCGAATGAACGTAGCGATGATGTCACGATTCGAATGTGTTCAGGTGATGATAATGCCGGCAAGGCATCTCCGTTTTTGCAATGTGCAGCTTTGCGTTCGAATGCAGTACAGATTAAGCGATTAGTGATATAATCAACGAATCGACTTGGTCAAGCAATATTCTCAAAGTACATGATATCGTAGTGCCTTAATTAGCAAAGAAATCGATCCTCCTTTCTTCGTGTATTCGAGAGTGTGCTTCAAGAGACATTTAAGGAAGTCAAGGGTTCTGTTGCTTCGCCGATCAAGGGCATTGGAACTCGTAGGAAGACATATAGGTATCTCGAAGCAGGACGCCAGAAAATCGTCTCATGCGTTTCTGGTACAACGTTGGAAGACACTCGTCTTCGACAGATTCGAAGGCGAAGGAAGCGGAGATGAAGACGCAGGTTTCACGATCGACGCTAGTTTGTTTCCTTTTTGGCAGTGGCGTCACGCGTTGAAATCACAGTCGATGGGTCACAAACAGACGTTATCCCCCGCAGGACGGATCAGGATAACGTCACAGATTCGAAACGAAACGTAGGAAGAGCGCGGTTCCGGAACTTGGCACGGTTCTTCCCTCGTCGCCAGTAGACGACTCCTCGATGGCTGACTCAGATCTTCCTGAAATAAAATTGCACCGACAGGTGATCGGTTAATGTTGAAAATTTCAATTAAGGAACAATTGACGTAACAAAAAGGATAAATATGTACGCGTTATGTGAGTACACACATTCGTGAATGTGTACACGGAAAGAACGATTTTTCTAATATACACAAAAAGGATAACGGTTTTACTAGATCTGAAAATAATTTTATTGTAGCATCAAAATAATTATGTAGGAATTTCAAGCATAATGAGCAATACTACAAAAAGTTTTGACATTCTAGCAATCAGTTTAAGTGTCCTACAAAAATATTTTGAGTTCAACAAAATTATTTTCAGATCTCTCTCTCTTATATTAAATTTTTAGATGTTTCAACAAAACCATTCTTTCTTATAGCATCCAAAAAATATTCTGCCATTTAACGGTTCCGTGTTAATGTTAGAAGATTTTTCATTTATATACAAATCAAGAAAATATTCTGCAAAATAAAGAAGGAATTTGTGCTGGATTTAGGATTGCAATTCTCTTAATACTAGAAGAATGTCTTACATGTACTGACATGCTGCACACGTAGCTACGGTAACACGTAAATGACAAATTTTTAACAATAAGCGTGCTTATTTGCTAGTATTTTGTATATCCTCTTATTTCAAAAGGCTATTCCTATTATAATAGAATTTTTATCGAGAAATTTATTTTTGATCATAGCTCATGTGTCCTCATTTTTATAAATGAAGATGTGTTATAAATACACGCACCTGATTAATGTAAGACTTTTTGCTTAGAAAAAATGCTAAGAGGAATTCTTATTGGTAGAATATTTTCTTTGAGAAAATTTTTTTAAATTTGAAGACGTTATCTTGTAGATTAAGACATACTTTAAAAGCCATTGATAATATTATTCTTAGAGATTTAGAATTCTTCAATTTATTATATAATACACAGAAAAATATTATTCTATTACTGAGAAAAGTGAAATCAATTTACTTTCTTTCTTTTAAGTAACGATTGTTTTTAACAAAAAATATTTTCTTAATTGTAATCTTAAAATATACAATATACTTATTACAAATTTTAGAAAAACTCATTAATATGTACTCAAAACAAGAATTTATTTTCTCTTGAAAAATATTGTAAAAATGATCGAAAGAACGACTTTTTATACAATAAATAAATTGAATTTGTTTTAATTTAATAATCTTGATTGAAGATCAAACTTATTGGAATTCAGAATATATATTTTGAATAAAGATACTTATGATGAACTTATAATAGATTTGTGATAATAAACTTTTGGAATACTAAAATAAGTATTTATTATGTATGCATACACAATATATATAGACATTTTCAAAAGATTATTCTTTAAATGTTTTTTTTTTTAATTTAAAATGCTTAATACAAAATTGTTCCTTTTTAGAATCTTCAAAAAATCTTGAAGGGACGATAAGATATGCGTACAAATATCAAGAAAGTTATTGAAAATACGATAAAAAATCTCGGAAAATATTCAGGAATGCTCTTCCAAATATATTAAAACGTAAAAAAAGTAAAATCATACAATTTTTTAACCATTACAGAAAAGTTAATTTAAATAATGGTTTTATAATTGTGTATGATCATCATTCATCATATGCGATAATAAACTGTAACTTGTGTACCATATATTTCCAACTTGCTTTCGGCATATATCGAAAATAAATAATACATAAAATTAAATCTTATTTGCAATGACACAAATAGTTCATTAAATCTAATGTAAATACGTAGATTAACTTATAAAATGGTTAAATTAACGATTGCAGTCACGACTTTACGTATCTAATTAAGTAAAACCAAATCATAAAAGTACTAAACTATAAAAAATAGAAAACGTTTTGACTTTAATTGTTATCATATTAGAGAAATTGTCCGAAGCAAAAACTAAATTGTTATGCGTAATAACTCTTTGAAACTTGTGTGATATATCCAGGATATTCCATTTTATTCCATTTAATTGTACAATTTTCTTTAATTACGAAATATATTAATTGATTAAATCATAAAAATAATGAAATATAAAAATTAAAAAAAAGGTTCTAACCTAATAATGATAGAGAAACTGTGCAAGGTAAAGATCATCTTTACACGTAATAACTTTTTGAAATTTGTATGATACATCTCAGATTATTTTATTTAATCATTTAATGACAAAAAAATTACGCTGAGACAAGATGTACAATCTGATCTCCGAAGTGGTAACGAGTGGTTTCCGCGATTTGAAGGCATCATGACGCAGCACGCATCTCTAAAAGTCATAAATCACGAGTAACTGAAATCGATTTTCCCCTCGATAATCAAATTTTCACACGTAACGAACATCGCGTAGATTGCCGTCGTAGATTGACATTGGGATATTTTCTCTGTATTTTCGCGGATATATCTCAGACCTGTTGGAGAAATCGTGAGTAACGGAAGAAGCAAGCAAGCTGTGTAAGCTGGTTATAATGGATCTGTTTTTCATTTATTATCAAGCACATCGCAGTGCACTTTACGCAGCGATAACGAAAAGAATATGTCAATTTCTCGAGGAGAAATAAATGTTTTTGTGAAAAAGAATATTAGATTCATATTATATAATAAATCACACGCAAAAGCTTTAGAGATTTCTAACAAATTGTCGGAAATCTTGAGATTACGGCAACTCGAATAAAGAGATATTTTGACAGAGATATATCTGCGGAAACATTCTTTTATTATTTTCAGCGATCTTAAAAACATTCAGGTACCAAGTTTCTTAAATCGCAGTATTTAGTAGAAATTTTCTTTTTGCGCTCACGTCGGTAACACTGTACAATAATTATTCTTGCAAAAACGTGCCACAATGACACTCAAGGACAGTTCTGTCTACCAAATTGATACTTCAAGCAACTTACTTGTAGTTTATTTGTAGAAAATTACTTGTAGTGTAGTTTACAACCATTTGGATTACAAAATTCGAAATTAAAAAATAATTAAATTGTTTAAACAATTAAAATTAAAATAATTAAACTTTTAAGATATATTGTTCGATAATAATGTATTTAATAAATAAATTTCATCGAAAATTGAGATAATTCCTTCTTTATCAAAATTAATTAAATGTTGCATTAATTAAAAAAAAGTTTAATATCTCTAAAGTTCTATAAAGAAAAATTTATAAAATATTCTCTTACAACTTTAGAATTAAATATATTATTAATAACTACGGTAAGTCATGGTAGCAATAATATAGATATAATAATATCTTTTTCTCTAATTGTAAGAGATAGAACATAAAAAATGAAAATGTTTACGTTAATAGAGAAAATTTTTCATTTTTCATGTTTTCGCTTTAAGAAAAAAATTGCATAACCACGATACTCATATGCATATCATATTATCATGTGCAATAATAAAAAATAATAGTTAGCATATTATAAATGTCCATTTAAAGTTACCTGAAGAACAAATAATTTTGTCTATTTGCGTCTTTTATAGAATAAATATGTCTTTTCGCGAGCATCTCGTATATTGTTACATATCATGTTTATTATTTATGACAAGTAACAAATTATGAAATTTTCATAAGAAAATCAACATCGTGCGATGTGTTTGCCCGATAGTCAAGTGTTTGATAAGATTATATTGTTACATATCATGTTTATTATTTATGACAAGTAACAAATTATGAAATTTTCATAAGAAAGACCAAAATCAACATCGTGCGATGTGTTTGCCCGATAGTCAAGTGTTTGATAAGACTGAATGAGCTACATTTACGTAATATTAGCCCTAGGTCAATATTAAATTTGTTCATTTTAATCGTACAAATGTTTTAAGTCTATCAATTGACTGTAGGAGATCTGAGAATCTCTCTGTCCTGCAACTAATTAACACACTTAAAAGATTTGTCGTGCAATACATGTAACATTAGCTTTATGCTGGATGAATCCGGAAACGTACGACGATTCGTGATTTGCAACTCAGAGTATTACATTGTTTCAGCAAAATCTTTTTTTATCACGGTTTATTTACTATACGTTTTCTGTACCGATCTGAAAGAATGGATGAAATCCACGAATAAATAAATAAATGCGATTTATTGTAACCTCTATGATAAAAGATACATTTATAGTGTTCGTAATATTGTGACAATGTTACGTAGATAAAAAGACATTATGTCGCTGTTGCACTCAATGGAAAATTTTAATTAAAATTTATGATGGTAATTAAATCGTCATTATACACCGGGAAGAGATATTAAAAATTAAAGAATAATAATAAACTTCCCAGGTCAAGAATATTAAACATTTTTCGATGAGAATGATGAATCATTTTATCACTTCTGTACAAATCTGAGCGGGAAAATAACGTTTATCGCGAAGTGAGCCTTAAAGAGTAATAAACGATAATAAAATCATATTCTTCAATTAACTTGAAACGAAATCTAAAATATCATTTTAATCCGAGGCATAGTTAGGACAATATTAACGAGTAATGTAGAAAGTTGGAAAGTTGCGACGAATGAAGAAATCAGCGGAAACGTCCAGAGATACGTCAATAACGTTTCCACCGTTACGAGAAGACCGAGGGATACACCGTTTTCAACGACATGTCAAAACACATCCAGAGGGAAAACGGATTACGACGAATGACAACATCGCTGTCGCGGACTTAATGTCCATTTCTCTGTAGATAAACTTTAATCTCGGTTTAATTCACTGTTTATCCTTTTCAAATTTTTGAAAACTAGAAAAAGGTAGAAAGTAAATTATATAAACCGAGATTAAAGTTCATCTATATAAATAAGACTCATGTCAATTTCTACCAATGCAGATTAATTTTCATTTCGATTCAATTTACTCTTTTCTAGTGATTGGAACTAAAAAAAAAGTAAATTAATCCGAGATTAAAGTTAATTTACATTGATATAAATTGATATAAATCCTTTACCGGTTTTCTTTTGCTTTCGAAAGAAAGTAATTACAATTGGTGGAAAATATTGATCAAATCACTGAAGAAAATATTTGAAAAATATAACTCGACGTGTAACTTCCAAATTACATGGCGTTAAGCCCGATGTCACATTACGTATTGCAGATTGAGAATTATGAATCAGAAAACTCTGCTAATTATATCAAGCAGAATTCCGGTTACGAAGACTAAAATTTCAGTAGAATTAGAAACTTCAGATTTGTTTAATTTCAACTAGGATTTCAATTACTCCAACCAAATTTTCAGTATAGAATTCAACCAGTCAGATAATTTCAATTTTAACCCATTTCGTTCTAATTGACTGAATTATAAGTTTCAATTCACAGTTTTTATTTTCCAATGCAGTGACACAGGTTTAAAACTCACATATACTATACAGGAAATAAAAGAAAATTGAAGATTATTCTATCAGTCAAGTAAATTTAATTGTAATTAATAAGATTAAATTTAATCCAATTTGTAAAAATGATTGAATTCTAAGGTCCAATATGTAATCCTTAATGTTCAATAAGTGTATCATGGATTTTATACCCGTTTCAACTTTAATTTAATAAATTACTTTCATCTCAATTACTTTTCATCCTTCTCTAGTTCTAAGAATTAGACAAAGATAAAGAGCAAATTTTAATCGTAGTTCATTAACTCTTTCATTTTTTTTTCTAGATTTAAGAATTAGAAAAAAATGAAGATATGTTCATCTGAGATTAAAGTTATCTATTGATAGAAACAGGCATTAGAGTGAGATTCCATTCCAAAGAACTCAAGAGAATATATTGATAGAAATGGGCTTTAGAGAATTAAAGAGCTCAAAACAGGATACTCACGGTGCATTGGGTTTTGGATCGTCGTCGTTGTTCGAGGAGACTGTTCGAAGCCCGGAATCTCGTTTGCTTCGATATTCCGGGATGGAAGGACCGAAGAAAAGTCTCGAGGCGACGTTGACAGTTCTCTCGCGCGGCGTCGCCTCGCGTGGAAAGCGTCGTCTCGCGTCGCCTCACGTCGCACATACGCAAGCAAGCGAGAAAGCACTCGTGACGTCCGGACGCTTATAGACGGCCTTGAACCACGTGAGGAAGAATTCGGGGCCTGCTGGCCACGGTCCTACCGGACACGCTCCTTCCCTCGTAGATTCCGATTTCGTCTTCGGCCAGACGAGTCGAAACGTTTCCTCTCACTCGCGCATGCTGTCACTTGATGTGTTTACCATCTCTTAGTGGTAAAAAAGAGAGAGAGAGAGAGAACCCATCCGACGCCGTTCCGTGCATCGGCGCGTCTCGGCGAACGGACGACCCTGCAGGTAGACAGACCGGAAGAGCGCCGTCGCGAATTTTCGGACGGGTCGCTGACACTCGACACGGTCACGCGCCCCGGGTAAACAGAGGACAGGAGGAGGAGGAGAGACGTGGCGGAAGAGGGCGGTGGGGTAAAGCACAACACTGTGTACGAAATTTAATATGCAGTCGCTCGTGTTTAAATCGCCGCCGGTGCGAAGGGAAATAATCCGCGACGCGACGCGACGCGTCGAAACGGATCGTTCGCGTCTCACCACCGCGACTTACTCTTTCGCGTGAGATCTCAGAGTCGCGAGACGCAGCAGCTTCCCGACGCAAAACAGCTACTCGCGACGGGCACCCGCACACTCACTGACAACGCTAGACGGCGGCCATTACGGGAATGAGTCGTCGCGGCGGATGCACGAACGCCACCGCACGGCGGCAGCTCGAAACGGGGATGCTGTGTGTGTGTGTTTCCCTACTCCGTATGTATGTTACATACATTACACCTGCCACTTCACTTGGATTCGAAAGGAGCCAAATATTTAAATTCTTGAAATGAAATGAAAATGAAGTAAGCAAATGCATAATTTCTTAGATCAAAACCTAATAAATGTGTGATAGTTTTGTAATTTTTACTTTATTTCAAGATACATAATCGATCCCCCTGTTATCGATCGATCGATTGCCTGCCATGAAAAGCGCGCCGTTTTCAAGGATTTTCAAGCTAGTAATCAAAAATGTCTATTACTTATTTGACACAAGATATTTAATATTTTTAGTTAGCCATTTTTATTCGTATCGTATTAAAATATATTGCCCTTGCAAGAAAAAATAAAATAATTTTAAAACTCAACAAATAGAAAATCTAGGAAACGATGGCCGATAATAAATAGAAAAAATATAATGGCCTTTAATAAGCTTAAATAGAATAAAATATTCAATAAATATAGAAGATAATTTTACATAAATATATAAAATTTAAAAATATATTCAAGGAAAGAATAAAGAAAAAATTGTATTTTAAATTTAATCATTTATGGCAGTATTAAACATAAGTTAACTACAATTAAATCAATTGATTAATTATAAATTACTTGTTTTAAGTTTCAAGTTTAAAAATAGTATTAGATACATATTATAATTTATATTAGATTTCTGTAAAACTTTCTATTTTGATTTGTATCATTTTTTCCATTTTTAATTCTGTTCTCTATGTTCTATTTGAATTCGTATTTTTTTTCGTTATTAAATACCGATTATATTAAAAATATTCAATATGATTCATATATGCATATATTATAAAAAAGTTCATTCGGCAAAATCGGATTTTAACTATAATCGACTATACCCTTATACTACATAAATCGTATAATGTTTCACTTTTTGTGAATTTGGTGTCGCAGTCTTTATTTGTAGACCGTATTTTATTCTATTCCAACAATTGACGCTTACAATTTTCAAATCGATTATTTTTTTATGGAGAAGATCGACGAACTTCATTGCCCATTCGTTCGCTTCATGAAAGCATACGGCGGCGTGGGAATCAGGATAAGAGAAACTGTATCACTCTCTCGCGATTTCGAGGGACATTACGCGGAACGCGCGTAAAATTAATTTACGGAAATTTCTATTCCGCCCTGCATGGCAGAGCGGCCTTGTCTCTATATACTGTGTCGAACAAGTGCCACTTGTGTAAAATGAGATGAAAGTGTGAGAATGCGCATTTTCGTGTATATATATGTATGTTGTACCATATATGTGCCTTTCACCGTTCGTCCTCGTGCAGACTGCTATTTAACTTAATTGGTGATGAACTTATCAAATAATTTGTATTTAACTTAATATACATATAATATTTTGTTAATTTGAATAAAAATTGTTAATTATTATTAGATGTAGTTTAAAAGATGGAAAATATAGATTATAAGGAATGAAATATATAGCTAGAAATTTTTTATGATCAATCTTTCCGCTGGATGAACTAAATTATTTCGAGAGCGACTTCAACTGCGATTAATTAACTTAATTGGCAGTTAATTTGTCAAGGTAATATTTGTTTTATTATTAATATAGACAGAATTAATAAATTCTGTTGTTTTTGCTGTTTATTCGATCTAGTGAAAATTTTTCTCAGAATTTTTTATATACGTAAATTCTTTAATATTTTTAAGATTTTTATTATAGCTATAAAATTTTTGGGGTAAAATCTTATAAAATCTGAAAACTTTAAAGTATTAAATTTTATTTTCAAAACTGGAAAATGAGGAATATTAAAATCTTCAAAAATAGTGATTTATTGCGATGAAATACAAGATCTGTTCGCGTTGCTTACACTTTTTGCACTCACAGAGGTGCGTTCCAAATTTCAACTACCAAGTAACCATTTTTCCATATTTAGGATCCAATTCTGATTGGTTAACCAAATCAGCTACTGCGCATCTTCGAGTCGACTGAGTCGAGCATAACCTCTGGTTGATTGAGTGCATTGAATGCACATGGTTATTTTGAGCACGTTTATTGTTGTAAAAATATTGCAAGTTTTAAAATAAATTTAAATTATTAGTAAATATGAAGTTTCGCAGTAAGTATATCAAATATATCATAAAAAGTAAAACTTTACATATTTTATAGAAGGCTAAAATAAGTTAAATGTAATAGGTTATGTTCATTAGGATTCAATCGATTCAATCTGTCTATATCTTTCTAGTAGTAATTAATAATACAGACACAATTATGCATTTATTGTTGTTTTATTATTACATTAATGTAATTTTTCTAAAAATAAAATTCTCATTTTAATATCATTGCATAGATAAGCAAAGTAAGCGCATGCCGGCGCGGAAGAGATACAAGATTGAGAAAAAGGTTCGTGAACACAACCGCAAAATGAGGAAAGAAGCTAAGAAGCATTCTAAAAGTCAGTGCTTTAATTTATCAAATATAAAGATATACATTTGTATTTTAAATACTTTGATAAGTGCAATTTTATTTTTGATAAAAGTATAGTATACCCCGTTCTTTCTCACCTCAAATTTTGATAAAAATAGACTTATTCAACCCTTTTTTGCACGAAATGAACGAATCTGGCAAAAAAAGTGCCGCTCTACCCCCAGAACCGAGATATTAAGCGTTAAAGTTGATGACTGTTGAGATTAGGAAATCTTTCGTTCATTTCATGTAAAAACGCATCGAATGAGTATTTTTATCAAAATTTAAAGAGAGAGAGAGAGAGAGCGGAGTATTCTATACTTTATTTTTATTCAGGAAAACCCAAGATAGTGGAAATACCAAATCAGTGTCCATTCAAAGAGGATATATTGAAAGAAGTAGAAGCAATGAAGAAGCAACGGGAGGAGGAAAAACAGAAGCGGAAAGAGGCGGCACGTGAAAGAAAACGCGAACTTGCCAAGGATGATCTCCAAGGGTTGGTTAAACAGGCTGAAAATAAGCAGTTGACACATAAATTGATAGAAATAGGTTCTGTTCAAACAAAAAATGTCATTGCTAAAGAAGAAAATTCACTTAAAGCATATTACAAGGAATTCAAAAAGGTTCTAGATGCAGCTGACGTTATTCTTGAAGTTGTCGATGCTCGTGATCCATTAGGAACACGATGCAAAGAGGCAAGTTTTATAAAGTTTTTGTTGTAAATATAAATGTATATTAATCTATTAATATCTAACATCAAATAAGGAAAAAAATATACTAAAACAATGAGAAAAGAGTTTGCTTTAATTAATGGTCTATATTTCATTTCATATTTAATATGCAGAATCAATTTTACTAGGCTTTCTTCAATTACAATATTGATATTAATACATATGATTTACTTTTATCCCATATATAATTTTTTAAAAATATGTATTCATATTATTACTGTGGCTGATAATCTAGTAAGGTTGAAATGTTTGACATATTAAATATGAAATAAAATATAGATTAATTAAAGCAAGACCTTTGATTTGCTCATTATTTTGACTTATTTTTTCCTATTTGTTATTAATTACAATACGAGCTTTGTCATTACTTTTGCCGTTATTAATATCTCAATACAGGTAGAAGAAACAGTCCGAGCTGCAGGAAATAAGAGACTGGTGTTGGTTCTGAACAAAGCTGATTTGATTCCCAGAGATAATTTAGATCAATGGCTAAAATATTTGAGAGCCAGTTTACCTGCCGTGGCATTTAAGTCGTCCACACAAAACCAAGCAAATCGATTAGGTAGAAGAAAATTAGGAAAGAAAAGAGAATCCATGATACAGAGCAACACTTGCTTTGGAGCGGAATTACTCCTGTCGTTACTCGGAAATTATTGTAGAAATAGTAATAATGTAAAAACGAGCATTAGAGTAGGTGTTGTTGGTTTGCCAAACGTAGGAAAATCTAGCGTTATTAATTCTTTGAAACGCAATAAAGCGTGCAACGTAGGAAATATTCCAGGTATAATTATTTATTGCAAACTCTTGTACCAGTTATGTCGTTTGTTTTAGCGATTGTATTTCCAAGTTTGTTAATTCTTTTAATTAAAGAAAATTATGATAATTTATAATTAATGAAACATTTGTAATTAAGCTAATTAATTAATATTTGTACATTTATTGATTCAATTTATAATTTTTTTTTTTAATTTTAGGCATAACAAAAACGATGCAAATTGTTCAGTTAGATTCTAAAATAAAATTGTTAGATTCTCCTGGTATAGTATTTGCTAATTCAGATGAAAATTCTGATGATACATCTGTAGCTCTAAAAAATGCAGTAAGAATTCAAGCCTTAAAAGATCCTTTTAAGCCAGCGACTGCGATTTTGAAAAGAGTTTCGCGACAACAGATAATGGAGTTGTATGATATGCAAGATTTTTCAACGCCTGATGAATTTTTTGCTATGAAAGCAGCACGAATGGGAAAATATAAGAAAGGCGGAATACCTAATGCGACTGCTGCTGCGCGCGGTATTATTGAGGATTGGAATTCTGGAAAAATCAGGTTTGTTTTATTATTTATTCCAAATCTTTATACAATGATAAATTTCTAATATTTAAAATATTTTTGTTAGATATTATACAGTTCCACCTGAACAATCGGTATGTCACATATCCGCCGAAATAGTTAGTCAAGTAGCTAAAGAATTTGATATTGAAAGTTTTGCTGCAGAAGAAAGAATGATGCTCGATAATTTCGCGACACATTCTACGAATAATCCCACAGATTCTGCCCTTATCAACAGTACAGGGCCTGTCACGACGGCAATGGAGATCGAAATCCAAAAGGATGCGGTAAGATATAAATATTTGCAATTTTATCGAATATATATGGATAATATATTGAATATTTATCGAAACTTGTATGCACTGCGAAAATTATTTTATGTAATATTTGGCCGTTATGTTGTTGCAGGAATATAAAGTGCAGAAGAAATTAAAAAAGAAGTTGCAAGATATAAAGAAGGATAAGTGTACTGAAAGGAAAAAGAAACCAGATCCACTTTTCGAGATTGAAGGCAATCAAAAATTAAATAAACTCAAGAAACTTCTATTCAAAAAGGAAAAAAAACAACAATTGAGAAGAGGTACGTAAAAAGATAAAAAGTAAGATAGAAGATTAAATATAATATTTAATTTTTTCAAAACATTGCTTCTCAATTTCCAGAAAAAGCTACTGTCAAGTTAACGGAACAGCTTGAAGGAATTAAATTTACTTCTGATAATTATGATTTCAATATGGACTTTACAAATGCATAGGTATTGTAATAAATATAGTACGTATCTATGGTTATCAATATTTTTTTATTTCACGAAAGCAGAAAACAGTTAGGAAATGAGAGCACAACTAGTTACGCGATTGGTACAGAGCAGTCTATCGCTGCAACCTCAATTAATTAACAGAACATGACAAATGCCAATTCGGCAAGAACAGTAGAGAAAAATGAAAAATACAACCAAAAGTATGAAAGCAAGCGAGGAGTTAGTTAGAATTTACTGTTTATGCGTTACTTTGTTCTAAAATAATATAACTTCGCAAAAATGATGAGATGGAATTATGTATTATATAATGAATTATATAAATCTAAAAATATAAATAGAATAAAGGTTTCTTTTTTCTATAAATAAAATAAAAATATGAGTTTAATTCTTTTTCCACATCCCGAGTCCCGGCGCAGCGGTATTTGAAGCTCACAGTCAATGTAATGATTGCGGCACAATGGCTACGTTACACCGTGAATTTAGGTCGCGGCCTATCAAATTCGACATAAATTAGGTTCCTCGCTGTAAACACTTGAAAAATGACCTAGTCTGACCCTGGCCGCGCAGCGCTTGGAGTATAACAATTTTCGTAGATTTAAAAATATTTTGTGATAAAAGGTAGAAGAGTCAGCTAATCTGTCCAAAAGTACGTTTGTCTAATACAAGGGTATAAAGATTAAGCTCCTACGAAGTACAATTTATCGAACTTCGTATAGTAGTAAATGATACCGTTGATGGATTAAACGACAAAAATTTTCTCAATTTTTAAATGAATTTCAAATACGGCTGAAAACGGCTTTTTTGGCAATTTTGAGTTAAGATATCTCGAAATCTTGACGTGATAGAGCAATTCTGAAGTCAGATTCAGCACGAAAAATTACATAAGAAAACGTTGTTAAATCCCAATCAACAAAATCATGTAAATCTGTGTTATCACATCAATGTGAATTTAATTATTTAAATGTTAAAATATAAAGAAAATGCATGTTGTTTAAAATAAACAATTTCCAATGTGATTATTTGAAAATGGAATAATCGCAATGTATAAATATATACATACAAAATTATTTAGAAAACAGTTTGTTTTGGAATTTCATGCGTTTTAATAAAGTAAACTTACAATTTTATTATAAAATAAGTAATACACATATGCCCAATATATAAATAATGTTAATCTGCACAAGAGAATAATTGTATATGACTACTATATGATAACGAGTAGATAAGTGTTCTAGCATTGTTAAGTTTTGTTATGCGATTGATACGAGTTAACTATTAAATATTACACGAGAAACATAACTAAACTATTATTTATTATAATGTGACTATACAAAGTTAAAAAAACAAATTGAATTACTGCACTTATAAATTAGTCTTTTTATAAAAAGTAAAATTACATTTACTACCTTTTTTGTCATGTTTTAGCTATTATTTATTTACATTTAAATTATTTTAATTTGTTTTATATTTTCTTTTTCAAACAACAATTTTATGATATTGCAGTTATCACATAAAAATTATCTTCTAAAAATACATGTGTACAGTTTTACCGATAAAACGAATGTAAAAAAAAAGTATGTATAAACAAAATAGATAACATAAAACGATAACATACCTATATATATATGATAATATATAATTATGATAAAACTGTATCTGTTAGATATTTCTGAAGTAGTACAGTCAGCACAATGTTGTAGTTAATAATAAAGCCAAATCATTCAATCGACGGTGGCCGCCTAGTGAGCAACGGACAGAGGTCGGTGCATTATTAATGTTAAAGATCATACATTTCCGTGACGTTTGAACAAAGTGCAGTGCTTAGAATTGTACACGCAGAAAATAAGTACCGGGACCATTAGAAAAGATTTGTAGAAGAAAATAAATAAAATGCAGCGCATCAAACCATTGGGTCAGCCACCTAAAGTCTGGAAAGTGATAGAGAAAAAGGCTAAAGATGGAAAACTGATGAAGTTCACAATTCAGGAGATTCCTGAAGATCGGTATGAGGATGCGATTCAACACATGTGCACATATTTTTTAGAAGATGAACCGACTTGTCAATGTATAAGTAAGTTTTATCGATTACTCGAAAACCTATAGTAATCTTAATAATTGTCTCATTTAACTATTCGTAAATTTAATTGTAAGATAAAAGGAGCTGTAATTAGACTGAGCAAAAATCTCTCTTACAAACTTTTTATTTTTACAATGATTTCTAACGGAGAAAAATAATTATATTTTTTATACAATTAGTTGTTATACATGTTTTTAATCATTATTTACTGTCTTATTTGTAGATGCAAAAAATGATCCTCTATTTGTACAAGATATAATTACGATATGGCGTCTGTTACTCGCAGAAGGCATATGTGTAGCTGCGTTTATCGACAATTCCAATGGTGGCAAACCCATAATCGCTGGTATGAATGCTTTGGGTGTCGAGATTAAAAACCAAGAACATAATTTCCAGGTTAGTTACATAAAACTTTGTTAGTAAATTTGGTTATTCTGTTCGAGTTTATTCTATAATGCGAGTTCTCTATTATGAGTACTTATAAGTGCATATAAAGTGTTTTCAGATATTTGTAATATAAAGAGAGATGCTGGATTAAGTTGTCAAAAATTAAACAATTTTTATTAAGTAATCTTCTATACTTTCTCGAATATTGACATGGCTTGATAAAATATCATGTATAATATATTATTTATTAAATATAATGAAATTATAATTCTAAGTTTTATCATAACAATAACTGTCATATGGAATATGATATATTGATGTATAAATATCTATTCATTAATAATTAATGATCAAGTGTTTAAATTTCTTATTCGTACTTTTCACTTTTTTTCGTAACATTTTGTTAGATATATGCTTCTTTCTTATCTATACATTAAATGTTATATTATATAGCAACATAAAATTATGTGATTGACAATATGATAAAATTGATAATCGTTTCAGTTTAAATCAGAAAAAAGTAAGAATATACATGAAATCCTGGGTAAAACGAATGTAGTGTACGAACGTTACGGAGTTGACAAGTATCTACATGCTATTGGACTTAGCGTCGACCCCAATTATCGAGGGTACGGATTAGGCAGGGAACTATTAAAAGTTAGGTATGACTTGTACTAGAATATTACTTTGCACATGAAAAATACATTAAATTATTGATTTTTTGCTATTTCACAATTCATATAGTCCAAAGTTCTTCAATAAAATCGCATAAATCTTTTCAGAATAAAGTAGCATTTCAATTTCTTGTAACAAATTTTACATCCAAGATTTCGCAACCATGTAATAATTTTATATCATACTTTATTTTCATTAATTTACTAGTAATTAGTATTAATAATAATTAGTATTAATAGTAATTAGTATTAATTTACTGTCATATTAATCAAATTTATCACACACACGCACGCACGCACATAATGTTCAGTAAACTTATAAAAAATCTCAATTTAGAGATTTTGTTGGATCTACGTATGGAGTGCCAGCAACAGCCACTGCGTTCACGTCAATATTTTCGCAAAAGGCAGCGGTGGATGCGGGATTTGAAGAATTCTTAACAAGGAACTTCGCTGACTTTGTAGACAAGGACGGAAAAGAATATTATCCTAATATTAATTCCAAAACATTTAAAATTATGGGTAAACGATTAATGTAAGCCAATAAACAGGCGATATATTCATAGATGAAGAGATTTATTTAATTTTGTAACTTGTGTAGTATAATTTGTAATGTTTTAAAATTTATTGCAACATAGAGTTTATCTATTGCAAAATATTTTTTAATGTTATCGCAACGCACATTAAAACGAATATCAAAGAAATCGTATTATTATCAGCGCATTATTATTATCGACTTCCTGTCATAATGCAGACAAATTAAATTTCCGTTCCGATAAACATGCATCCGCGGCATCATATTTAGATCATATATTCGGATAACACTTTATAATATATCTTCCCTACATACAAGGCAAAATGTGGATGAGATATTTCAGAAATACAAATTGCACAGCTTTTATGGAGCAAACGGGTGCATTTAGAACGACAATCATATGCTTACTATATAAGCGCTTAATGAGTTCTTTCATCTAATTGGTTTATATTTTAAGATCTATCTAAATAGATCTATCTATATTCTAAGATCTCTCTCGGAATATGCTAATCAGATGAAAGAGCGCTCATTGATGAATCGCGCGAAGTAGTTGTCGTTTTCAATACACATAATGTGATCACGACGTGATAGCTTTAGACCTTTAGAGAGATATACATACTGAACTAATAAATCATAAAAAAGATCACAATTTCGAAATTTTTCAGCACACTCCATCTTTGACATGTATTAATGTAAATATTACTTTAATCCTGGAAAAGGATTTTTGAGTATATGGTATAAAAGAGAAAAAAGTACGTAATTGCTATACAAAAGTTATTCTGTTTAGTCAATAATATAGATAATATAAATGATTTTAGAATTAAAGTATACGCATAACATATTATATAATACATAATGCATAAAAAATTGACCAATCAAAGTTTCTCTTTTCCGTGAAATAAAAGGAAAGAATATATTCTGATCGATTGATTCTTTTATGCACTATGCGTTATTCGTTATGTAAAAATCTGTGCTGCGGCCTTAAGACAGGGAGCGCAAACTCTTGCATAACGCTTAATTCATAATGCATAAGAAAATGTACCAATCAAAGTTCTTCGTTTACTTTCTTATTTCTATGAAGTAGAGAATTCTGATTGGTTGAATTTCTTATGCCTTATGTGTTATGCTTTATGCAAGAGTCTGTGCTCCCTGCTTAACGTTTTTGAAAGCCTCCGTACATTAGCGACGCCAACGTAATTTTTATAAAATAATGTGAACTACATATTCATTATCGATGATGTAACTGATAATGTTGTAGTGTTAAAAATTTATGTGGAGCAAGTCCCGCCACATGGTTACACACATTCACAAATTGTGGATGTAAAAACAATTTTCATATACATATAATTTTATTTATATAGTTACGTTTACATAATTGTTCTTTTGCTACAGTCTAAGTATTGATTAACATTGACGTAGAAAAATCCAAACAATAGATGAAAGATGATAACATAGCATATGTATGTACATATTATTGCAATAACACTACATCATAGTACACCCGGCACCGTGACTATATGTTATATCTGTTTATTGGCGAGCGCAGTGAGCAAATTCACACATTAATACAGATGATAATAAAACCAAATCATTAGACAATGGTTATATTTTAGTAACAGCAGAAATCGATTGCATTACACATGTTGAAAACCATACGTCTCCGCGATGTTTGGATAAAATGCTCTTTGATAAAATTATACACGTGAAAAGTAAGCATCGGAGCAATTGTAATATCATATTCATTATCGTATTGATGTAAGTTTAAATGTTAAATATTTTTATACTAAAATGTAAAAGATGTGTATATTATTCCTTAAAATAAACAATTTTCAACATGCTTATTTAAAATCGTAAGCATTAAATATATTTATAAAATTATCAGAATATTTATTACAACTGAGTTGTCGATAGTCTGTCAATCGATAATTTGAGATATATATACATATATATATAAACATAAAACTTATTAAAAACTTATTCTATTTTTCTTCCGTAGAAACTTTAGAACAGTTTAATCCAATTATCGGAATTATCACGTTTGTCTTAATTAATATAGTGCGATTGAACAATAAGTATGTAATTTTATTGTTCAATTAGCAGCAACATACATATCAAACATTATGTATACATCAAACATGTTACATAAATATCTGATAATGTTAATCTGTAGATGAGAAGTAGAAGGAGAATTGCAAGTGCATTTTATGATAACAATAAGTAAATAAGCGTTGTTCAGTTATTATCAAATATTTATCGTGTGATTAATACGAGTTAATTATAGAAACGTACGTAAACTATTCCACATAATATGACTACACATAATTACAAGAGCAAGCTCGTTTTCGCACAATAATATGTTTAAATTAGTCTTTCATAAAAGCTGAGTATACAATTATAATTGTTTCTTCTTTTTATTATTAAAGATAATTAATTTTGTATCTATATTAGTCACATTTAAATTGTTTACTTATCATATTTTTTCTTTATTTAAAATTTAAACAATAATTTTATAACGTTGCAGTATACGAGAGATATCTCTTCAGAATACATCTGCGTAACTTTGTAGATAAAATAAATGAAAAAAAAAACTCATACATGAATACAAACAAGTTAAACAAGTTAAACAAGAAAGACGATAACATTATACATTATCGCGACAGTGTTGCAGTTATATCCGTTATTCGAAGTAGCGCAGAGAGCGTAATGTTTAGAGCCTCGATTAGAGTTCTGAGATCATGTCAACTGCAGCTAGCTCTCTTTCCCCACTTAGTTGATAATTAAACCAATACCAGACCAGTCGATCGACGGTAGCTGTCCTGTACGCAACGAACAGAAGTCGATACGTTACAAATGTTGAAGATCGCACGTTTCTGCGACGTTTGGATAAAATGTCCTTTGACAAGATTGTACACGCAGAAAGTAAACATTGGAGCCATCGGAGCAGATTTACAAAAGGAAATAGATGAAATGCGACGCATCAGACCATCGGAGCAACCGCCCAAAATCTGGCAACAGATAGAAAAAAAGAATATAGACGGGAAATTGGTGAAATTTACTATCCAGGAGATTCCAGAAGATCGGTATGAAGACGCGGTTCAACACATGTGCACATACTTCTTAGCCGATGAACCATCTTGCCGATGTTTAAGTAAGTTCCACCGATTATTTGAAAATCTGGTGTTCTTTTGATGATTTTCTCGTTTGTTGCCTGTGAATTTAAATGTAAAAAAAAATTAAGAGAAGCTATAATTTAAAAGAATAAAGAAATTTCATAGATTATTCTTATTTTTATAGTGTTTGTGACTCGAGCGAGTTTGCACTAATTTGAATTAAATAACGTTCTCCTATTAGTTGACGTTACATGTTTTACTAATAGGAGAGTTTTGGTGCTCGAGTCGAATACGCTATTAGAATGATTCCTGGAAAGCAAAATGATTACTTTTGTAATCACTAATTATATTTGTTCTTTGTCATTTTTTATTCTTTTTTTTTAGATGCAATAAACGATCCTTTATTTATACAAGACATGAGCACGCTATGGCGTCTAATGGTCGCACAAGGTATATCCATAGCTGCATTCGTCGATAATCCCAATGGTAGAAAGCCTGTAATTGCTGGCATGAATGCTTTGGGTGTTGATGTTAAAAATAAAAAAGATGGCATTTCTGGTTATCAGGTTAGTTACATAAAGTAAGCTTTGTTAGTAGAAATTAGATTGTTCTATTCAAGTTCATTGTTCGTGCAAGTTTTAAAGTCGCTTATAAAAAAGTGTGATATAATATAATATATAATGCAGTGTAATTATATTATAATTCTAAGTTTTATATTATAATTTTATGTTGTCATATAAGAATATAGGTCTGCAATCCGTAAAATCATTAGGCCAATGAGCTGTAAAAAAAATTTACAGCTTAAAATCCGAACATTTATTTTCAATGATAATATTAATTTTTTCATCGTAAATTTAAATTATTTAATAACATTTTTAACGCTTTTATACCCAAAAGTTTACTGTTAGAAATGCTTTCTTTACATGTAAATAAAGCTCGTGGTTATGAACGAAATTAAAAGTAATGAATGATTTAACGGAAAACTAAGTTACAGTAGTTACTTAAATGTAATGAACGTGTACATCAAATAGTTCTTGAAATATTTTGAAAAGTACATTAAATTTTATGTACATGTACACAAATATACTTTTCAGTTATAAATACATTAAATTTAATATAATGTCAGGAAATTAAATTGAAACTTAAAAGTACATTAAATTTTATGATATTTTTAACAATATACATTAAAAATTAATGAAATTTAAGAACATTTATAACAGTGTTGCTTTTACAAATAAAATAAATAGTTCAAATAGTTTATAAAAAAAGTATATTTATTAACTTTGTACTTACTATAAGTAAATCACATTATTAATCTGCATGGGATATAATTGATACAATTATGTAATAATATTAATATATAATATATAATAAAAGTATATAAAATACATGCGAACAATTTCAAACAATTAGTAAATGATTACATCACAGCGGTGAACATACAAAAACTTAAATTTTCGGTGAACGCAAGGCGGTCAGGAGGTAGAAATTTAATTATGATACACTTGCGCAGCTGTTACTAAATAATATATGGGTACAATGAAAAGTCATAACAATCCCAGATCGCTTAAAAAAACTCGTTTGGACGTCTTTAAAATTAGGACAAATCCGGAGAAATCCGGACGAATGACAGTTCCATATGAGAACAGTGAAAAGACCGCAAACATCAATGTATAAATTTTAAATATTATCATAAATACACACGTTTTAATGTACTTCGCTTTTTATTGGAATATTGGGTCAAGGAGTCTTTTCCTACCTATATGTTATTAAATATTATATTGCCGCGCGTAATGTATAATTAATAGAATTAAAATTAAGTTGAATTAATAATCGTTACAGTTTAAGTCAGAGAATTGCAAACATGTGCTTGAAGTCGTAACTGGTGCAACGAAAGTGGTATATGAACATTACAAAATTGACAAATATCTATATGCTATTGGACTTAGTGTAGATCCTGATTATCGAGGATACGGATTAGGCAAGGATATCCTGAAAATCAGGTATATGATTTTGTTAAAAAATTAATTCGTACAATAATAATAGATTATGCTGGTTTTGATTTCCTTTGTCACTTCAAAAGTTTATCAAGAAAATTTTTTCAGTAGGTTTCTGATTTTTAAAAATAAATTATGTATCTGAATAATGCAGATTATCTGTCATTTCTGATCTGTTTTAACCTTTGTGATATAATTTTATATTACTGACAAAAAATGTTAAAAAATATTATTTAATATTTTTAAGAATATTATAAATTAATCAAATTTTATGTGTCAAATTTGTATTTATTAAATTTTAACAATAAGTTGATTTTTTATTATTAATACAAGAATCATATCAAATTTTCTTTTATTTGATTTTATTATTTTAATATCTATCATATTAGTTTTTTCAATTTTATAAAAATTCTTAATTTAGGAATCTTATCGGATCTATGTACGGAGTGCCAGCAACGTCCACTGTATTTTCATCAATAATTTCGCAAAAGTCAGCGGCAGGTGCAGGATTCGAAGTAATCCAGACGAAAAATTTTGCTGATATGGTAGACAAAAATGGAAAAGAATATTTTCCTGGAATTGATTCCAAGGATTTTAAAGTCATGAGTAAAAGATTGTCTTAATATGACCTGATGATAAATGGGGCAATATTCAAGAATAATGAATAATAAATTTATATTTAAATTTGTAACTTGGAGTATATATTAAGTTTATAAATTTCTGTTGCGAATTGCATAGTATTGCTCAATATTACTATAGCGCACATTGAATGATAATAAAAAAAAAAACCTTTATTATCAGCTTTTTGTCAACGTACAAACAGACATATTTTCCGTTTCGATAAAAATACATCCGCGGCATCGGAACAAACATTACAAAATTTTTATAACATTCTTTCTGTACATACGCGGTAAAATACGAATTGTATGTAATACGCTGGAAAAATCTTATCGAATAATACATATATCATCTTTTATGACATAAATAAATGGTGGATTGTTAATTTTTTTTCAACTAAATTTAATGGGAAAAAGTGATCACATTTTATCCGGAAGTATAACAAAATTGCTACGATTTTTCTTCCTGAAGCATCTATTCACTATTGCATTGTTCATTTTTTAAAATATACTTAAATATTATAAACCAATGAATCTTAGACATTATATATTTATTTTTTTATAAATTAATTGTTACTCAAAACAAAATGTATACAGAAATAATTTTGTATCGAAAGTGAAACCCTTCGAAATAAAAACTTTTAATAAATATGTAAATAACAGTTTTGAACTTATTATGAATGAAAAATGACCAATTTTACATAACAAATTATTTTAACTTATTTGTTTAATTTAGATTAGATTAAACATTTGTTTAATACAGAAAATATGTATAATAAAGTAAACAAATAAAGAGACAAAGATCATTGTGTATATATAATCTTTTTTTCTTGAAATATTAATTAGATTACAAGTTTGCCAAATAAAAATATCATTTACTTTTTAATTCATTTAAAAAAGGTAATTAAACTTGTTATCTTTCAGTGCGATATGTATTGTTTTTTTTTTTAAGTTGATATTCATATTCTTCTATTCATACCTTTCTGATAGACTACAATGATATCATTTGTTTGTTAATTTAACGCTATTTGAGGCCCTATTTTTTAACTCTTATAACAGTGTCGATGTCGTTTCGTTATCGTTGCGCAGGTTTTACACATGGTAAAAAAATTGAACAACAATGATGTAATGTTATCGACATTGTTGTTAAGAATTACAGAATAGGATCCCTGATAATTATAATGTCAAATAATTATCTGGCAACAGTCGCTTACACTGGATATCTTGGTTGAAAAATGGGTCATAGTGTAATTATTATATTAATATGAGTTGGATAGTTAGAATAAAAAAATAGAAAAAAACATACATATTTCTTAAAATGTACAATTTTTAACTTATTTTTTGTGTATTTGAAAATACAATAATTACAAAAATTTTAAATTTATGTAAAAACATCACGTGGCTTTAATATGTCTTACAAAAAAATGGTACTGTTGATATTTTCGTTAAAATTTTACTTGTGCATAAAGAGAGGGCTCATTAAAATTTTTACCACATTTTTTTAGCACGTATGCTAAAAATTTTTAAAACTGCCAAAGCAACTCTGGTTTTTAAAATTATCACATATGTTTTTATAATTGCGCGGTTGTATCTTTGTAAATATCGAATAAGTTGAGTAAATATTCTATAATATTAATTCATAGAAAAACAGAAAATTGCACAAGCATGTGGTAAAGAACAAATAAGTATTTTAGTACCGTCAAATAATATTCGTTATGTGATTAATATGAGTTAACTATTACAAATGTACATAAATTATTATAATATATCACTTCACATAGCTACAAATGCAAAATACTCTTTAATTTTGCGCAATATTTTTATTATTTTACTATTACATGTATTAATAAAAATTTCAATTAGATATTAATATTATAGAAATTTATTAGATAAGAAGAATATGGGGTTCTTATTTATTTTTTCGAAAGATAAATAAAATTATATTTGTATTTTATCTTCACTTGAAAAGGTTTTAGGTCGTGCTATTATTTCTTCATATTTAAATATCTCATGTTTTCCTATCTTTTAATAATTTTTTAAACTTACAGCTATTATACGACAACTATGTATACTTTTGCAATGTTATATGGCCTATTTGTGATGGTTATAAAATGTCCAAAACGATCACTATTGTTAATTGATATTAGACGATTTTTGGAACAATTAAACTACTTATACATTGTTTATTTAAAGGCTGAGAGTACCGAATGCTTGCTGGAACATCTTTCTATAGCACTTTTACTCAATATATAACAAAACCATTTCATTGACGCACACACTGTTCAACTATTTCATTCATTTTAACGAATGATGAAATTACAAAGACATCAAAAATAATAAAAAAATTACCAGAAAAAGAACAACTTATAACTTTGAATGTCGATACGTAGCAGATTTAGTTTTGAAGAGATACAGTGTGTTATTTAGAGTGGTAGTTAATAACTATAAGTGGTTGGCGAGTACACTTATCCCTTGATTTATACCCACGGAGTATTCATTCCACAGTTTTTTACGCATCAATGGAATCTGTTAATACAAAAAGATCCACAAAAAAATACCCATATATGTAGTAAAATAATTTATTTCAAATATTTGAACAAAAACAGTAATAAAATTTTGCAAAAATTACTGCGTGAATGAAGGGATTTTTTACCGAATAAAAAACAGTGTATAAAAAGTTAATCAGGGATGAGTACACTTTTTCATGTATTAATAATAATCTCGAGATTGATATTATGAATGTTTGTTAAATCTATTTAAAAAATATAGCATATATTTACAAAGTATTATATAAGGTACATCTCATCCTAAGAATTTTCTTGGATTTATATATGGAGTTCCTAAATATTTATATCAATATTTTTGTAGAAATCAGTAGCGAATCCGGGATTTGAAAAAAATGTTGATAGAAAACTTTTCCAATTTGGTGGACAAAGATAGCAATTGTGGAGCATTTTTCTTAATTGTGTGTTTAAATAAACGTTTTTTTAATACGGCCCTCTAAACCATAAGAATTACAAAACATGAGAAGTAATACATTAAATTTTATACTATGGAATAAGTCTTCCAATTTCTATTGTGATCTGCTCAATATTCCGTATGCACCATCGTGATGCATTGATACGAATGACAATAAAGGGCGCCTTTTCGGCGCGTCAAGCTTACGTCAAGTCCATTATTATCGGCTTCTTGTCGAAACGCGGGCAGGTGTAACTTCCGTTCCGTTAAACATGCATTCGTGACATTCGGATGCATTTGGAATATATAGGTGTTACAAAATTTTAATGACATACCTCCTGTGTATACGCAGCGAAATGCGGGTTGCATGTTATGCGTTGGAACATGTACCGTAATTTGTAGCAATACCATGTTGATTGTGTGGTCGGAATTTAAGATTGTAGACATTATGCGTATTAAAAAGAGAAATCTATATAGATTAAAAATTCTATAAATATAAGAATATAATAATAAGAATAATTTGATGTGTGAACGTAACAATAAAAATTAAAAAGAAGCGTTGGAAATTAGCGCAATAAACAGTTTTAATGATGCAAAATATAATCTTTAATAATTGAAAAAATATATATTAAATTATTGTATATAAACAATTAAAGAATTGAAAAAAACCTTTGCAGAATAATATATAATATTATCATCCCTCACATGAGGTAATGAAAATGCTTAGATTATTAAATTTCCTAGATTTTATGTGTAGAGCAATGAAAGAAAGTAGTCGCACATTTTATTTGAAAAATATAATTTTTATAATTTTACTTCCTGAAATGTAAATTGAATTATCATTAGTTTATTGCACATTTTTTAATTTCGTCATATGTGTATAATTTATTTATATATATATACTATATATTAATATACAATATTAATGTTATACATGCCTGTTCTTAAGTCTGGAGACACGGTAGTGTCTCGGCGCTAAGCCAAGCGCCGCGGCACTGCCGTGCCTCCTTTACGCGAAACTGAGAGTTTCGGGGGATTGAGATGATCAGATCTCAGTAACGGCTGAACGGATCAAGTTCTATATACGCTCAATCGATAGCAATTGCTTAAATTGTATAATAAAAATGCTTTCATTTTTTCTCTACGTGTCCTACGAGCGAAGATATCACGACTCAAAGTCTGAATCTGTAAATTTTCACGCTTTCGAATAGTTTTCGTCCAATTTTCGCAGTCCCTCTTATCGTATCGCACCGCGCACAGTACAATGCCATTCGATCATCATAGAGCACTTGGACTGCACGCGGTGAGATGAGGTGAGGAGGGGCGGGCAAATGCAACTTTCGGCTGATTTTCGAATCGCCTTCGTCTAGCTTTCGCTGTTCCCCTCACCTCACCGCTGCACGCGCTGAACAATGCCATTCGACTGTCATGGGGCATTTCAGCTGCACGCGGTGTGGTGAGGGGGACAGTGCAACTTTTAGTTGATTTTCGAATCGCCTCCGTCTAACTTTCGCTTTCCCCCTCACCTCACCTCACCGCTCCGTGCGCAGAACAATGCCATTCGATTGTTTTACTTAACAATGATGACGATGTCTCCAAAAGGCAAGGGCGAGGATCGTTATTCACTAAAAATAATCAGTGTTTCGTAATCCATACAGTTTCGTTACAATCTTTAATCAAATCTTTAAATTAAGACAAATTATGCATTAGAATTAAAAATCAA